CCCCAAAACCCCAAAACCCCAAAACCCCGTGGAAGATATGAAAAATCGATATAAACAATTTAGAAGTTATTTACCTTTTAGAGTAAGAAGTAATCCTATTACCTAAAATCGACTTTAAATATCATCGGCATAGAATCAACAACCATTGTTTCACTAATGGCATAGGGGTGATTATAAGCAGGTTTGAAAACCTTCAACCATCATACAATTTCTCAAGCTACAGCATCTTGCTAGATGCCATCACGATTAGATATAGGAATTTAGTAAAATTTAGAATTTGGCAAAAGCTAGTCTTTGAATTCGCTAATAGAAATTAATTATGAGAACGAATATGGATCTACAATTTTTCTGCATAAGTTCTATGCAAAAAATCAAGAGCTCTAGACCCAAATTTGTTTCTTCCAAAATGCATAATAAACGTTCTTTTGGTTGGAGGCTTTAGGGTTGTTAGAAAGATAAAAATTATAGGAAATTCCAGTGCTATAGGAATGGTTTTCTTAATATTTCAGTTATTATTAAATCTTTCTTCAGCTATTCTGCTGCCAGATTTATCTTCCAGCAAAGTTCTTCATGTCCTTATAATTTTTTGGTAAATCTTACTTCATTCTTGGGCAGTACCTGAATCTGAATATTTTGTGGTTTTGGATTTCTGGAAACTGTTACTTGAATTATTGATTTGGATTCTGTTGAGTCCATCAATAACTTCTTGAGTCATCTTGTTAAGTTGTTCCTCCACTACCTTGTGGCCGTATCGTTGTTGGATCTTCGAGTAACCCCATTCTGGATCACGGATACTAATATGTTTCATTTTCTGTCATTTGTTGCTGAAACATAGAAATAGCTTAAATTGCCAATCAAGCAGGAGAATCTTTAAATGATTTCACTAGTACGATTGAGACTTCTTTTTGTTTCAGTCTTTTGGGTTTCTCAAGTTGAAGCATTTCTCTGACCTTCTCTTCTGTCAGGCTTCTCAGCACCTTCAGTACCAGTTAGTGTACAAGATATTCGAACCTTAGTGAAAATTGCTCTTCCAAATTTTTTCTTTCTTCTCTATAATGACTAAAATTTTTTGTGATTATACAAGTTATCTCCTTGACAGTTAGTTTTAAGCAGGCTAATCTTGAGCATCTGCTCTTCATCCAATCTCTGTGAAGAGGCTTCATAATCTATTACCCTTTATAATAAACATCATAACGGGGTTTTGGGGTTTTGGGGTTTTGGGG